CATGACTGCATATTGGACTGGCTATTCTGACAGGTATTGGACAGTGACATCATGTGTTTACTCTTGAACACAGCAAAGAATCAAACATTTCTGCTACTGCTAATAATAACAATAGTAGTAATAATAACAATATAATAATAATAATAATAATAATAATAATAATAATAATAATAATAATAATAATAATAATAAAGATGATAGAATTGAAGAAGGAAATTGTACAAAAATACAAGGGAGTGGTTGACACATCATCAGTGTGGCTTTGTTTATGCTGGAGTGAGCATTAGTCTCCGTGCTCTTCCAAACATTTCACAATAATTCACTGTGTTTGGTGCTTGTAGCTTGAGTGCGACTGGAGTGGTTGAGGAAGCGGATGAGGCAGTGGGTGAGGCAGCGGTTGAGGCAGCGGTTGAGGCAGCGGTTGAGGCAGCGGTTGAGGCAGCGGTTGAGGCAATGGTAGAGGCAGCAGTTGAGGCAGCGGTTGAGGCAGTTGGTGAGGCAGTGGTTGAGGCAGTGGTTGAGGCAGTAGGTGAGGCAGCAGTTGAGGCAGTGGTTGAGGCAGTGGCTGAGGCAGTGGGTGAGGCAGCGGTTGAGGCAGCGGTATTTAATAACATACATGTTATTAATAATAATAATAAGAATAATAATAATAATACATGTCATTAATAATATGTACTATTATTATTTATAACATATATGTTATTAAATACCACTGCCTCAACTGCTGCCTCTACCATTGCCTCAACTGCTGCCTCTACCATTGCCTCAACTGCTGCCTCTACCATTGCCTCAACTGCTGCCTCACCTGCCTACTGCCCTCACCACTGCCTCCTCTGCCTCAACCACTGCCTCAACCTCTACCATGCCACACTCAGTCGCACTCAATCTACAAGCACCAAACACAGTGAATTATTGTGAAATGTTTGGAAGAGCACGGAGACTAATGCTCACTCCAGCATAAACAAAGCCACACTGACGATGTGTCAACCACTCCCTCGTATTTTTGTACAATTTCCTTCAATTCTATCATATTTATTATTATTATTATTATTATTATTACTACTATTGTTATTATTAGCAGTAGCAGAATTGTTTGATTCTTTGCTGTGTTCAAGAGTAAACACATGATGTCACCATCCAATACCTGTCGGAATAGCCATTCCAATATGCAGTCATGAATGAGTTTACATTATTTATACTGTAGTTTAACCCTTTGACTGTTTTCGACGTATAAATACGTCTTACGAGCCAATGTTTCTGACGTATATATACTCAATAATTCTAGCGGCTTCAAATCAAGCGGGAGAAAGCTGGTAGGCCCACATGTGAGAGAATGGGTCTGTGTGGTCAGTGTGCACCACATAAAAAAAATCCTGCAGCACACATTGCGTAATGAGAAAAAAAAACTCTTATCGTTTTTTTGGAATAAAACGCCGACTTTGAGGTGTATTTTCGTATAGTATTTATCGTTGTATTTGCGTTTTCATGGTCTTAGGTGATAAAATGGAAAACATATTACAGAAATAGAGATGATTTTCATTACTTTGACGATGAAAACGACCTTGAAACTAAGCTCAAAGTAGCGGAAATGTTCGATTTTTACCAATGTTCAGGAGTAAATAAATCACACCACACGTCCAATACACGTCAACTGGGGAGTCTAATATTCTTTCACTAGTGCACTGATATTATTTATACCATTTTTACAATAATGCAGTAGTCTGCATAACAGTAAATTTTGTATTTTTTTGTATGAGTAAAAAATCAAAATAGAAAGCAATAATAATATAAGAGGGGCCTAGAGATGTGACTAATGAACAGAGCATATGTTATTTTAGTGCCACGAATGTCTACCTTGTTTATTCTCTACCCTATTTTGAAATTGGCATCTTTTTTAGTTTGCGTGAAATTGGCCAAATTGCCAATTTCTGACCACCATATTGGGTAGTTCAAATTAGTAAATGGGAGGTTTCTTGTACTCAGCTGATAGATAAAATGGAGTTCTAAAGAAATAGCTATGAGTTTGGTCAACTGGAACAATGGAATTGGCTGAAAATAGGGCTCAAAGTCGGCGAAATCGCCGATACGCATATGTGGCCGAGACCGCTAACTTCGCGGGAGCATAATTCCACGAGTTTTCGACCAAATTTCGAACTTTTGGTGTCATTACCATCGGGAAAAGATTCTCTATCATTTCATAAGAAAAAATAATTTTTTTTTTTCAAAAATTGAGCGACATAGAATGACAGTTTCAGAGAGGGGCCTGAAACAGTCAAAGGGTTAATAGCAAATAATGAACAAACAAAACACTCACCACACTGGTGGGAGGGCTGGCTGCCAGTTGCGGGGGTCGGAGGGATGGTAGTAGGGACTCACAGTGGTTGAGGAAGTGGTGGAGGCATTGGTGGAGGCATTGGTGGAGGCATTGGTGGAGGCAGTGGTGGAGGCAGTGGTATTTAATAACATACATGTTATTAAACCATAACATGTATGTATTTAGTACAATTTACGTTTTCATGTATTTTATGACTGTTCATGGTTCAACAAGTTAAGGAAGCAGTATTGTAGTATATTTCCCTACAATATATTGGGGCACCAAACATTCACGATTTTTCAACATTCACGAGGATCTTGATCCCCTAACCCTCGCGAATGTTGAGGGAGACCTGTAGTTGTTTACATCTGTGGGGTCACCACCTTTATGTATTGCTGTCTTGAGTAGTGTCGGGAAAGTGCAAGTTTCTAATGACTTGTTAAAAAGTAATGAAATAGCATGCAAAAGGAACGGGCCGCTCACTTGTACAATAATGGTGGGACGTGAGACAGATTCCCTGAATTATTTTTAAGTGACTTAATAATCGTGGTGACTTCAGTGGGCTCAGTAGGTGTAAGATAGAAGGAATTTTGGAAAATTCCCATTTAAGTAATCATTTGCAAGGGTGTTAGTACCTGGGATTTTACTGGCGAGATTAGATCCTATGGTTGAGAAGTTGTTTATCTTGTTAATTGTATCAATGGGATGCAGCGGTGTTTCGTTCGGTTTAGTTAGGACAATATCCTTGGGCTTTTTTTCAGTTTGTGGGTTCCTAGAATCTGAGAGAGTGTTTTCCAGGTCTTTTTTATATCTCCTCTTGTTTCAGTGAATCTGCTGGAGTAGTACAAGTGTCTGGCTTTTTTTATAGTATGGTGAGAACTGATGAGTAGTGTTTAGGAATATCTTGACCATATTAATCTGTCTGTAGCCAAAAATGTCGATAAGCTCAGTACTAAAGACCACATGGTGCAGGGAGATCAAAGACACACATCCATCCAATACACAAACCCAGAAAGCACTGAGCATGCAGTGAGAAACCAGGCAGAATTCTGAGACATCACACTTCAAGTTCTCTTTATAACAAGTGGGACTTGAACTCATGGTGAGTGAGTCCTAAAACTCACAGGCCAGTGTGCTAGCCACTAGTCCATACCTGCTTTGAGGGGACTTGAGCTAGAGCACACGACAGCCATGCTGGTGCGAGATTCATCTGTAAAAACCTGCATTTATGGCCCACATTAGAGCCCATGTTAACCTCACTATGATGTAGTGAAAAATATCTAGTTAGATGAATCTTGTTAGGCCGACCTGGACCGGTGAATAGCTCAATGGCCTATGAGGCCAACATGGACCAGTGGATAGCACACTGGCCTGTTTGTTTCAGTATGTGTTTGTCATAGGTTTAAGCTGTACCTGTTCTGAATTTGATTTCTCTCTGTTCATGAAACATGCCCCCAGGCCTCTCCTATATAACACTTACCCTTTATTTTGAATACATAAAAAAACAGAGGTCTTCCTTATTTTCTTGGGTAAGAAACCATAGTCAAGAATGTTCGTTCAAGGTCTAGGCTGTCCCAGTAATTGAAGCATACCTGGTCATGCCCATAAAATACACCAGGAGAGAAAAGACTACCTTTTCTGAGGAAAATCTTAAAAATATCAACCAAACTTGCCACTTTGAGGCCAATTTCAAGCCACTTCTGGTCTGAAACTGACCAAAATCTTCTCAGTTCACTAGTGTTTTCTGGTCTGTCTACCTACACCAAGAAACATCCAATCTATAAAGTGACCCAAGCAGTTAGAGGTCAGCTATTCTCATCATGCATTGCATAGGGGCACGATTTTTTCATACTGCACACATCCATTGCATAAACTTGTCTTCTCACTCTAGGCCTCCCAGGAGTCTTGCACCAACTTGAGGATGCTAAGATTCATGCATAAATCTAGAGCACTGATACTAATCCCACTGACACAGATCTATGTGACCAACAGTCACATAGATCTATGTCAAATCCACTGTAAAATATTTGATGTGAATTATTAAATATTTGATGTGAATTATGAACAAGTCACTGGAGACCAAGAACAAAGGTTTGAGGGCGGTGTATATATGTTGAAGCAAGAGGAGGTTGTACCCGGTACAGTACAGTACTGAGTAACAGTCCATAAGTCTGTATTATGAACAGTACATCTCAACTTGAGCTATAATTAAAATCAGTGAAGTGTACACCAAGTCAGTGCTATACAGACCATAGACACATTTGTTAGCCCAACACTTACTGTGTGATCATCACCTGATCCACATGAGCAATGGTCTGGCATGATCACTTGTGAGGCATGATCAGCTGTCTGGTATAATCACCTATCTGGCATGATGAGCTGTCAGGCATGATCAGCTGTCAAGCATGATCATTTGTCTGGCATGATCAGCTGTCTGGCATAATCACCTGTCTGGAATGATCAGCAAAGTGTAGGCATAGTTTTCTCCCAGGCATTTTTCTATTACTGACACTCAGTTCAAAGAGTGCCAGGGTCGAGGTTTTATGAACCCTTGCAACCAAGCCTGACCGCTGTCTTCCCTTAGTAGTTTTGAAAGTTTAACGATTTCCAGTATGTTTTCACTGCACAAATGTGACAGAGTTCACTGAACTTGCACTAGATACACAGAATATACATTAAGCAGAGTACAGTACTCACTACACTGTCAGAAGCACAAGTGGACCTCAATAGTTCAATGAATATCTGCTAGGTACACTGAACAATAAAGAGAGTACTCACCACACAACCAAAAGCACAGGAGAACCACAAATGCTGGGTCATCACGGGCAAACTGGGCCTTGGTCTCTGAAATATTAGAAATATGAGAAGCTCATCAAATATCAGAGCGAGCATAAAAATAATTTGAAAGGAACAGTTATAATGGAATATTAAATGAGGGAAATTTTGTATACTATGACTATACTAAGAAAGCACGGAAGGAAATGAATGTTCAGATGAAAACAGGGTCAAACTAAAAATATTTTAAGAAGGAAAGGATGCAAAGAACAATGATTTGTGACAAGGCAATAAACACAAGCTAAATTTAAGTCGAGGAAGGTTCATGTCAAAGATAAATTCACCAGAGATAACCTTGTGGGTGATAAAATTACAGGAAAATTGGAGAAAATAGGCAATTAAGAAGACTATATATGGTGAGATGCAAGTAGCAGTGTAAGCAAGTCTATAAGACAGAGAAAAATTACCTGAAGCTTAGGTTTTACACTGAAGTGAATTTATAATATCATGCTGTACTGTAAGAATTTTTTGTAGGAGAGAGAAAGAATTATGTACATTCTGATAAAAATAAGGTCAAAAACCTCAGATGCATTCTGCTGAGGAACAAAAGTCACAATACCGGGGCTGTAACAATTAACAAATACCCTGGACTTGAGAGAGGAAAGTTTAGGTAACATTTCAGTCCATGCTGGACCATTCATTATTATTTTTATATTTATTTATTATTAATTTGGATATGATGCTTAGATGTACAAAGAAATACAGTGGTTAAGTGTAACATGCCAAAAGCCCCTTGTATGCAGAGCATTATGGGCAGGCTTAAAATTAACATATGGTCATTTGCTGAGTTGCTGTGCATTCAATAGAATGGAGTATTCTATTAGGTAATGTAATTAAAAAAAAAAAAGAAAATAAAAAGTTTGATAGGGTCACAGGTTACACATTTATGAGATATAGTTATTCAATATTTATTTAGTCATGGGTGAGTAAGTGATTTTTAAGAAGAGTCTTGAATTTATAAACAGACAGTGTTTCTTTTATATTCACAGGTAATGAATTCCAGATTTTTGGGCCTTTTATGTTCATTGAGTTTTTGCATAGTGTGAGATGGGCACGAGGAACATCAAAGAGTGATCTGTGCCTTGTTTTATGGTCATGTGTTCTGTGACGCCATGTTAGTAATGATAATAATAATCACTGAGTCTCATTCACCCTTTCAGAGTTTCAGCCATACTAGTACGGCATACGAGCCAGGGTTTTTGACGTACTAGTATGCCTAAATTCTAGCGCCCTCAAATCTAGTGAGAGAAAGCTGGTAGGCCTACATATGAAAGAATGGGTCTATGTGGTCAGTGTGTGTGGTATAAAAAAATCCTGCAGCACACAGTGCGTAATGAGAAAAAAAAAAGTTGACCGTGTTTTTGGATTAAAACAGTGACTTTACACTGCATTTTCCTATGGTATTTATTGTTGTATTCTTGTTTTCCTGGTCTCATTTTATAGAATGAAAGACATATTACAGAAATTGAGATGATTTTGACTGGTTTTACAAAAAAAGTACCTTGAAATTGAGCTCAAAGTAGCAGAAATGTTTGATTTTTACCCAAGTTCAAACGTAAACAAATCATGCTATGCGTCCAATACTCGTCAACTGTGAGTCTAATATTCTTTCACAAGTGCGCTGATATTATTTATACCATTTCTACACCAATGCAGTAGTCTGCATAACAGTAAATCTACTATTTTTTTGTGAGAATAAAAATTCAAAGTGGAAAGCAAAAGAATGTAGGAGGGGCATGGGGACGTGACTAATGAACAGAGGAAATGTTATTTTAGTGCCAGGAATGTCTTTCTTGTTTATTCTGGACCCTATTTGGAAATTGGCATCTTTTGAAATTTGTGTGAAATTGGCAAAATTGCTAAATTCTGACCACTGTATTGGATAGTTGAAATCGAAAAACTTATGGTTTCTTGTACTCATTCGATAGAAAAAATGGAGCTCTAGTGAAATAGTTATGATTTTTGTCGACAAGTACACTGAATTGGCTGAAAACAGGGCTCAACGTGGGCAAAATCGCTGATGCATAAACATCGTCGAGACCGCTAACTTCGCGAGAGCATAATTCCGTAAGTTTTCCATCAAATTTCAGACTTTTGGTGTCATTATGATCGGGAAAAGATTCTCTATCTTTTCATAAAAAAATTTTTTTTTGTTTTTTTTTGAAATTTGGCCAACCCTGAGAACAAGTCTCTGAGAGGGCTTGTCAACCCTGAAAGGGTTGTATATTACATTAATATATACATTTTCAATAATCCATCTATGATATTTTTTCAAAATTATATAACAAACACGATACATAACGTATAAAGATGATAAATACACCCCACAGTAGAATAAATAAATACAATTATGAGATGTGGTAGCCAGACAACTTGTATAAGTGACAGAAAGAATAATGTTTTCTCTAGTCCAACATAAGAGAAAATGTGTTACTGGGCATAACTGTAGAAAATTATTCCTTTCGTATGCCTTCACTCAGAGCTTCAGTTCTTCTAAAAACGGTGTTACATGAGAATGGGAGTGTTCCTCTTTATTTAATCTACTGTATCAATGTAGAGACAACTTGTAGACAATGTAACTTGCACACAAACCAGACGTGTACACCTGGTTTGCTTACAAAATTGGTGTCTGCCTGGTTTGTTTACATAACTCCTTGAGTGTCCTCTCTCATGTACTCATTCTCTCTCTCTCATTTATTCGTTTTATCTTGTTTATTCACCTCTGACCCTACATTAAGACTACAAATATTTTAAGGTAATTAATGAGTGAACTGTATATGCATTTTATCGCTCTGGGATGCATAAATGTCATAGAATATTATGTGTGGGTTGGTTGGCCTGGTATGGTAGCTTGGCTGACTACCATACATACCACACCTGATTTCTTACAATAAATACTACTCATCTCACCCTAGATTAAGACTATAAATATTTTAAGGTAATTAATGAGTGTACTATATGTGTATTTTACTTTTTTATTGTCTTTTAATGCATAGTTCTATTGCTAACTTAATATATGCTAGTGTAATTTTTTTTTTTTAACAAGTCGGCCGTCTCCCACCAAGGCAGGGTGACCCAAAAAGAAAGAAAATCCCCAAAAAGAAAATACTCTCATCATCATTCAACACTTTCACCTCACTCACACATAGTCACTATTTTGCAGAGGTGCCCAGAATACAACAGTTTAGAAGTATATATGTATAAAAATACACAATACGTGTATAGAGTGGACCCCCGCATACCGTTGGCCTTACATAACGTTAAATCCGCATATCGATACGTTTTATCGCTAAGATTTTGCCTCGCATACCGCTAAAAAACCCGCTCAACGCTGTTCGTCCGAGACGCGTCTAATGTGCGGCCTTAGCCAGCCTCACATGTTCCGCCGGTGGCATTGTTTACCAGCCAGCCTCCGCGGTAACATCCAAGCATACAATCGGAATATTTTGTATTATTACAGTGTTTTTGGTGATTTTATTTGCAAAATAAGTGACCATGGGCCCCAAGAAAGCTTCTAGTGCCAACCCTACAGGAATAAGGGTGAGAATTACTATAGAGATGAAGAAAGAGATCATTGATAAGTATGAAAGTGGAGTGCGTGTCTCCGAGCTGGCCAGGTTGTATAATAAACCCCAGTAAACCATCGCTACTATTGTGGGCAACAAAAAGGCAATCAAGGAAGCTGTTCTTGCCAAAGGTTCAACTGTGTTTTCGAAACAGAGATCGCAAGTGATGGAAGATGTTGAGAGACTCTTATTGGTGTGGATAAATGAAAAACAGATAGCAGGAGATATCATCTCTCAAGTGATCATAAGCGAAAAGGCTAGGAAGTTGCATCAGGATTTAATTAAAAAAATGCCTGCAACTAGTGATGATGTGAGTGAATTTAAGGCCAGCAAAGGTTGGTTTGAGAGAACAATGCTCTTCTCCAGACTGAGGGACTGACCACCTCAAAACTTTAAGGGTGATGGACTGATTACATCGTCTTCAAGTCTCTTCTGCTTCTATCAACTTTTCTGTACTCGACTGAAGAAACCTACTGTGTAGGCGAAACGTTTCGTAATAAAGATACCTAACAGTTGCATATGTGTCTTACCTAACAACCTGTCGGTATTTTATACCATTTTAATGTTCAATACATAGTGTGATAAGGCATGGTGAGGCTGCCAGTTCGGACCACAAAGCAGCTGAAAAATATGTGCAGGAATTCAAGGAGTACATAGAAAGTGAAGGACTGAAACCTGAACAAGTGTTTAATTGTGATGAAACAGGCCTGTTTTGGAAGAAAATGCCAAGCAGGACCTACATTACTGAGGAGGAAAAGGCACTCCCAGGACATAAGCCTATGAAAGACAGGCTTACTCTGTTGATGTGTTCCAATGCTACTGGTGATTGCAAAGTGAAGCCTTTATTAGTGTATCACTCAGAAACTCCTAGAGCGTTCAGACAAAAGAATATCCTCAAGGCTAATTTGTGTGTGCTGTGGAGGGTAAACAGTAAGGCATGGGTCACTAGGGACTTTTTCTATGACTGGTTACACCATGCATTTGCCCCCAATGTGAAAGATTACCTAACTAAAAAGAAATTAGACCTTAAGTGCCTCCTGGTGTTAGACAATGCCCCTGGTCATCCTACAGACGTGGCAGAACGACTTTATGGAGACATGAAGTTCATTAAGGTGAAGTTTTTGCCTCCTAATACACTCCTCTCCTGCAGGCCCATGGACCAGCAGGTTATTGCAAACTTCAAAAACTGTACACAAAAGCTCTGTTTGAAAGGTGCTTTGTAGTGACCTCAGAAACTCAACTGACTCTAAGAGAGTTTTGGAGAGATCACTTTAATATCCTCAATTGTGTAAACCTTATAGGTAAGGCTTGGGAGGGAGTGACTAAGAGGACCTTGAACTCTGCTTGGAAGAAACTGTGGCCAGAATGTGTAGACAAAAGGGATTTTGAAGGATTTGAGGCTAACCTGAGAGGAGTATGCCAGTTGAGGAATCAATTGTGGCA